ATAGATACAGAGAGCAGACTGATGGATGCCAGAGAGGAGAGGGCTTGGGGGGCTGGGGGAAAAAGGGAAGGGACTAACAAGTACAAATTGGCAGTTGCAGAATAGTCGGGGGATGTGAAGTCCAGCACAGGGAATGTAGTCAATAGTATTGTGATAACCACGTGCAGTACCAGGTGGGCACTGGAAATATCAAAGGGAACGCTCTGTAACCTATATGAGTGTCTATCCACTGTGCTGTACACCTGAAGCTAATACAAAATAGTGTTGAATGCAAACTGTAATAATAATAAAAAAGACATCAGTGTCTTAAACAACTAGCTTCTAAAGAAAAGCAGGGAAGACTGGGCCGTGTGGCAACCACATCTCTCGCACCAACTTCTTTTCCTCTCCCTATGAGGCATGTTACCTGGACATGAATGGAGTTTCCTTTGCTTCTCCACACCGGCTGCCATTGATGCTCAGTTTTAGGTACCCATCCCAGGGATAAAACTGGGGGGTGGGATGGTCATGGAGTAGCTGTCCTACACTTGCATCCCCTTCAGGTGGCCTGTGTTGAGGGAAAGCTGTGGGTCTGTCCCTGGATATCAGGACAGCCTACACCTGGGCTAAGAATCTGGCCTGACATGTGCATGAGGAGCAGAGCCTTCCAGAGATGGGGGGCCTTGGTGTTGCTCCATCTGGTACAGGAGAGGTAACTCATGGTCTATGGAATGAAAAAGCAAGAGGACTTGAAAACATTTTATCTGTCTAAACTCTTCTGGGTGCTGTGGCCATGTTTTCATTGAGAAAGTCTCAGAACTTAGGGGAGCTATAGTGTTTATAACTTTTTTGGTGCAATTCCCATTTATTCATTCATTCAGCCAATATTTGGTGAGAACCTACTTTGTGCCAGGCAATTAGTGCACAGAGTTAATAATGCAGGAATAATAATTAATAGTGATGATAAAAGCTAATATTTATCAAGTATCCTCTGTGATTCTTGTTTAGTTCTTATGATTGATTTTATTTTATAATCTTTGTATGGAGATAGCATTGTCAGACCCATTTACAGATGAGGATATTGAGGTTTTAAGATGGAAAGATATTCTTTCATACAGCAAATGTTTGTTGAGCACCCTTTATGTGCCAACCACTGTGCCTTTTGTTGGGGGCACAGTAGTGAGCAAGGATTTGGTTTTTACTCTCACGGAATTTAAACTCTAGTGAGGGGACACAAACAGTAAGCGAATAAGTGATTAAACAAAAGGCAACTTGAAGCTAGAGATACATACCATGAAGGACATGAAACTTGACCATGAGATGGGGACCGATAGGCAGCCAGGGATGGTGGGATGAATTAGCTGCTTCAGATACAGGAAGATTTACTTCAGAAGGTTACATTCAGGCTGACGCTTGAACAGAAAGGTGACAGCCATGCAAACCACCTGGGGCAGAGCCGAGCCGGCGGGGGGATAGCAAGCACGAGGCAGCCTGGGAATGAGCCTGGGGTATTTGATAAGCAGAAAGAAGCCTGGCGTAGCTGGAGTCCAGCAAGGGAAGGGAGAGTGATCCACCTTGAGCAGCCGTAGGACCCTGAGCCACACGCCACTGAAGTCTCCTGTGAGTCCAAATTCCTTCCAGCTCATTAAGCATCTTTGGGGGCAGCGAATGGGGCAGAACCAGACAGCCCACTACGCAAACCAGATTGTTATGTTTCCTCCTAGATAAAGCACAATTCTCTCTTAGGTCCAGGCTTGTCCTTTCCTTCTTGGGCTGCCCAGGCCCTTTGGAAGCTGAGGCGGAGCTGAGGGCCGGGAGGAGGCTGGCCGCCTCCTCTCCAGGCTCCACTGACAGGGCCAGGCCAGCATTGCTCCTGCCATTGGCTCCCTGACTTTCGCCACATGGCTTCCATGGGCACCCCTTCATTTTCTTCCTTGGTGGCCTTTGATTCACCTCGGAGCCACTGCTTCTGGTAGAGTGGCCGTTATGAACCTGGACGAGCAGGCCCCTGAAAGGTCCTCAAGGGATCCACGTGCACATGAACATGGAGGAAGTATACACGTGAGGCTTGCACATGTTTGGGGCTTCATCCCCGCTCTTTAGCTTTGATTACCGATGATCCCTAGAAGGCCTTATTCAGCTCAGGACCCAACTACCGTTTTATCGAAAGGGATCACGTGCAGGTTATCGCAGCCTTCATCCCACTCTGTGACAGTGGTGGTTTCTCCTGCCCATTTCTCTCCACTATGATATGAATTCCACAGGACAGAGCCTCGGTGAGTCTTGTATACTCATTTGTTTCCATATCCCTGACCCAGTGCATGGCATATAATAGACACTCAATAAATATCTGCCAAAGGCTGAATAGTACAGAGGAGGAGGTAAGGCATCAGAAATGTTGATAGAAGGAACCCACCTTCCCTTCCCTTACTTGATAAGTGCTGTTATCTCAATCTCCCCAACCCCCACTCCCCCTTACCACATACACAACTTCCATCACAGTGTCTTGCACACAGTAGGAAGTGCTCAATTTATTTAATAAATTAAATGACAGCTCGATAAATCTTGTCCCCATAAAACTTGTGCCACGTAGGCTTCTGCAGTAGAGATGCAGATCAATGAATAAAAGGCACCTATCTGGATGGTTTAATTTTAGCCTGAAAGATTTATACTGAGAACTTGTCAGAACAAATGAAAGACATTTTGAAGTAAAAACCAAGAGATTAGTAAAAACAAGTGCCAAAGTCACATATTCTGCTGGGTCTCAAGCAAATTCAGCAGCAGGGCTGCGCGTGGGGGAGTTTTCAGCTGCTGTGAGTGTTTAGAACAGCTTCGGAGGACGATGGCACCATGAGAGGGGTGTGAGAGGTGATTCTAGGCGTGAGACATGTGTGTGCTGCAGGGAGAGGGGGCAATTCAGAGTGCGTGCTTCTGCCTCTGGAAACCACCCTGTCTGCCCGTGTGGTTCCCACTAGAACAGGCTCTCTCAGCCTTGTTCCCACGGACATTTAGGGCCAGTGGACTCTGCTGTGGAAGCTGCCCAGTGTGTTGTAGGATGTCCAGCAGCATCCCTGGCCTCTACACACTGGATGCCAGCAGCCGCCCACTTCAGTGATAACAACATAAACTGTGTCCACGTGATGTCAAATATCCCCTGGGTCAGACTAACCACCGGCTCAATACTACTGCTCCAGGGAAGCAGCTGGGTCTCCTGCTTGTTCTAACTGCCCAACAAATATTGCTGATGGACTGATTTTCCTCTTAAAATCTTCACACTTCAGATATAGATTCTTCCCAGGCCCAGAACGTTTTGTTTTTGGAAGCTGCCCTCTCCAGTGCTGTGTCGCCAGGCTTAGAAGGCTGCGATGCTGTGGTCGTGGGCTTAGCAGCACAGTGTGTACAACCTCAGTGCCATGTGACTGTGCTGAGCAGGGTCCAGCGGGTGGGATGCCCAGAGGGGAGGGAGAATGCACAGCAAGCTGGTTTAGACAGTAATTTAGGACTGCTCTATTTCTTGGGGTCTCTTAATCATATTTCTGGCATCCATATTGATAGTCCTTGAAAAGAAATGCATATGGGAAGAAGGCTTAATAGTTTCACCAAGGGTGGCCATTGGAGCGGGCTCTCTTTTCTGTCCCTTGGCTGGACCACCACTGCTCTTAAACTGTTTACTGTCAGCTTGTCCATTGGTCTAAGGAATCCACCCAGGAAATTTAAAGAAATTGTGATGAATATTGAGCTTTTCTACTCCTGGGAGGCATTGATGTGATAGGGTTTCTAAAATTTAGCCTCTGGGATCCCTGCTCAAAGGACTTTAGTAAGGAAACCAACCTGCTTTCCCCCAGCTCACTGCCTCTGAGATGTGCTGAGGGGGAAGGCTTTCCAAGTCATGAAAGATACAGATTCACCCAAAGAGAAATCACAGCGTGACTATTTTGATTTTATTCTTTACAAAAGGATTAATGCCAGTACTCTGTGAGATATATTGGGTTTAATTTGATATTTGAAAATGTATTTTCTATATGTTTGTTATGTCAAATGAAGTGTACATATTAAATTACAAGTGTGTAGTTTTTAATGATCCTAGGAGTGTTTTGGCTTGTGATATGCATCATGTATTATCTCTGATGACACAAAATTTCTTGTGTTGCCCACAAAGACCTGGTCATGCGTCACAGACTTAGGCAAGATTATGGAATAGGAATAAGGTTTGGTCTTTGTTTCTGAAAAAATCCTAATGTTCACCATTACATTTCTAGAGTTTTAATATTTCTAACTATCAAAGATAAATAAATAGGTTGTACTTGTTCTTTCTAGGAAGAAATTCTTTTAAATTTGGAAGCCAGCTCCCCAAAGAGCTTTTGCTGTTGAGGGGAATATCTGTGAAGAAAATGGCCTATTAGTTAGTTTTTGAATGTGCTCAGTTGTGTTAACTTGCCACTTATCAAAGTTGACCATTGTCCCAGTGCAGGGTCCAAAATGATGTTAAACATGTCCTCTTGCCTATTTCTCCTTTCTTCTACCCTGTGACCTCTTGTGTTTTCCAAAGTGTATGAGGGAACAGTTCTTACACTGACCACCTGCCTGTGGAAAGGGCTTATTTATTCATTGAAACAAGCCTTCTAGGCTTCAAATCAGCCCAAAATGAAGAAAAGGGGCAACATTATGAACAAAGTATTTGGGAACATGGTGGGTCCCCATAAGTCCTATTTTTGAATGGTCACTCTGGAAAACCAATCCTAATGAATACATTAAATACTTCGTTTACAGAAGTAGATGATCATTTGAACTTTAAAACATTGATCAGAAGGAATTTTTTTTTATCACTTTACAACCAATTTTCTCTGTGCACTGTACTAGGCTATAAAAAGAACCTTCCTAAGACATGAGAATGAACTTGGTAAATATTGCTTAGCACTTCCTTTGGCTCATTTGAGGGAGAGGTGTAGACATTACAAGAGGGAAAGAAGTTGGGACAAAGGACTGAAGTGTAACCACATTATGCCTTGTTGTTCTTCTAGGATCTCATGATTCCTTCAGTTTCTACATTGATGAAGCCTCTCCAGTAGGACCTGAACAGCCAGAAACTGTCCAGAATTTTGTGTCTGTCTTTGGAACTGTGGCCAAAAAGCTGATGCGGAAATGGTTAGCCACTCAGACGATGAACTTTACTGGTCAGCTAGGAGCTGGGATCCGTTATTTTGATCTCCGAATCTCCACCAAGCCCAGAGACCCTGACAATGAACTCTACTTTGCTCATGGCTTGTTCAGTGCCAAAGTCAACGAGGGCCTGGAGGAGATCAGTGCATTCCTCACAGATCACCCTAAGGAGGTGGTGTTCTTGGACTTCAACCATTTTTATGGGATGCAGAAATACCACCATGAAAAATTGGTCCAAATGCTGAAAGACATCTATGGAAATAAGATGTGCCCAGCGATCTTTGCACAGGAAGTTAGCCTAAAGTACCTGTGGGAGAGGGACTACCAGGTGCTGGTCTTCTACCACAGTCCCGTGGCTCTGGAGGTGCCTTTCCTCTGGCCTGGGCAGATGATGCCAGCACCCTGGGCCAATACCACAGACCCGGAAAAACTCATTCAGTTTCTTCAGGCGTCCATCACTGAGAGAAGAAAGAAGGGCTCGTTTTTTATATCTCAGGTGGTGCTGACCCCTAAAGCTAGCACTGTGGTCAAAGGGGTGGCCAGTGGCCTCAGAGAAACAATCACAGAAAGGTAAGCGTCTTTAAAATATCAGTAAAACGAGTTGAAATAATTTAACCTGAATCCATAGATCTGGTAAGGATAGAGCTAAAATTTATACCTATGTGTATTAGTTTCCTAGGGCTGCCATATCAAAGTTCCATAAACTGAGTGGCTTAAAATGAAAGATATTTATTGTCTGTGCATTCCAGAGGCTAGAATTCTGAAATCAAGGCATCATAAAGGTTTGATTCTTACTGGGGTCTTTGAGAGACAGTGTTTTCCATGCCTCTCCCCTGCCTTCTAAGGACAGTTGGCAACCCCCGGTGTTCTTTGGCTTGTAGATGCATCACTTCAATCTCTGCCTCCTTTTTCACATGGCCTTCTCCCCATGTGTCTCTGTCTTCTCTTCTTAGAAGGACACCAGTCATATTAGATTAGGGTCTACTCTAATGCTCTCATCTTAACTTGATGTCATCTGCAAACACCCTGTTTCCAGGAAGGTCACACTTACAATTATGTGGAATTAGGACTTCAACATATATTTATAGGACCCAGATCAACCCACAGTACCATGGATTTTGACTCCATGTCCAGTTCTCTTTTCATAGCACACCCTTCACATTTGTGTAGCACTTTGTAGATTACAAAGCCCTTTCTCTACTGATTGCAGAGTCTTATTAAGTACTTAATTACATTGGATCTCCCTAACAACCCTGGGAAGTAGGTACTGTCTTATTGATAAAAACTGAGATTCAGAGAAGTAATAGGTTTTGCCTAAGCTCACTGGGACAATGAATGAAACAAAATGTCACGCCTTGTTTTTCTCAAACCATATTCTCTGCCTTTATGCCCTAAGCAAGGATCAGCCTCCAGAGTGGGTATTCCATTGGTCAAGTCCAGCCATGCGTGTAGAGTGTAATTCCACCTGCAACGTGTGACCTGACCAATCGCCAGAGATCTCTGTGGCTCTTTCCCATGTGGGTGATCAAACATGTAGAATTGTATAAATTATTTATTCTTTTGACTTAAAGTATTAAACAATACAAACAATGTCTGAAGATAAAATACAAGTTCTGTTCAAACTTTTACCTTTAACTTTGGTAGTTTGAATCATGATAAAGGGACAAAGCATAAATGTTTCCTTGGACTCAAGGTCATTGCAGGAAAACACAAGAAGGTGACGAGAAAAGATGTGGAGGTGAAAATAGTCCATGTGACCTTATAGCATAGCATGTAGTGTGGGGAATCATAGGAGATAAGGCTTGTAGTGGGGCAGAAACACACTTTCAAGAAAGCTTTTAGCCAAGCTACAGGGAACTTGATCCTGTGAGCAATGGGAGGGTGGTGGTAGAGTGACTTAACCAGGTCTGCTTTCAGATAGATAACTGGCACAGCACAGGGATGGATGGAATGGAGAGAATGAGCGTTAAGAGGTGCTTAGCTCTGTTTTAGCAAGGTAATGCCAACTACACTGAGGAAATGAGCAAACAGACGTGAAGTATATGCAAATAGCAAATATTTGAATGATTCGGTAATTATTATGTGGTGTGAATGGGTGGAAAGATTTCAGGACAAAGTTTCTTCTTGAGAAGTAGCCTGGGTAATAGAGACATTCACAGAGGGAGGAAACAAAGACATGGGCACTTGGGGAAGAAGTTGGGAAGATATAATCAAGGTCATACTAAATTTAAAGTGCTCATAAGGCATCCAAGTCTATGTGGCCAATTGATCATAGGAACACAGGCCAACTCATTTGGTGGTTATTGGTATATTTTTGGCAGTCACTGTCGCAAGGCATTGGAGTGGTTCCTCCATACAAAATCCTAACTTACTTCTGTTATTCAGATATTAACTGTGATCTCCCTGTTTCCTAAGATTTAAATAAGATCCCCAGCTCTTTACTGTACACCCTATGCGAATACAAGTCCTTCCCTAAAACTCCTTACAGCCTTATGAAGTGAGCTCTTGCTGCTTCTGGAGTCCATACATCATATTATGGATTGACTGTCCCATGTGGCCTGTCCAGATTCCATTCTGTGTAACTCAGGACGGGCAACTGGCTTCTCACTCAATTTCCACCCAGGTTTTGAGATTTTACTAAGGATCTCAGAAAACGGGGAGGCTTTATGATCATAACAACGCAGATAATTTAAAATTGAATCCTAATTAAAAATCTTCCGGCCTAGGCTGTCTCCCCCTGACCACATCTGTATACTCTTACCCCAGCTTCCATCCCTCCACCTCCTCCTACTCATCTGTTTTCTTCCCTTGCCCCCCAGTTGCCTGGAGACTCTGCCCTCTTCTGTAGGTTATGACACCAAACTCTTCACCTCTCTCCTGGCCCCAAGCCTTCCCTCAGCTGGTCTCAGCAAAGTATTCAGCAGAATGGAAGGCTTTTAGCACTCCTTCTACAAAAGTGAATTGTTCTGGCAAATAAATAACTTACCATCTCATATACTTAAAAATAAGGGAGTTATATACACATAAGGATGGATTGTTTTCAGCTTTACCCCATAGGGCCCCCAGATTTTGAGGAATCCCTGAGGGTCCGCCAGTGGTGGGGAAGAGACAGGTGGCGCCTGGGGTCAGCAGCTCCAATTTTCTCTACACCTGGGTTGAAAGCAGCTTCCTTTCTAACTTGTATATATTAGGCATGAAAGGAGCCTCTCCACTGCCCCTCCAGCTTCGCCTTCTCTTGTGCTTGGAAAAACACACCATTTCATACAACACACCTGCTTGGCATTTGGCCAAGAGCCATACCCTGATTTCACCTGTGTAGGCAATGGCCCCTGGCAAGTCAAGAGGAAAAATCTACTCAAGGAATAAATGACTTTCACTTTCTCTCCTATGGCATTTCATGCAGGTTAGGACTTTGCAAGTTATAAGTTGAACTGCTTTTTGGTTACTTATGCTCTAGGACAGTGTTACCAAAGTAGGACTTGGGGTAAAAAAGGTCAAATAAGTTTGGAAAATGTTTTTATATATTATATCCACACAGCTCTCCCAAGAGATTTGCAATGCACATTAGCATATAAAAGTCCCTAGCAAGTACTTTAGTGGCGGATCTTGTTTAAAGTTAACGAATTCAATGTTTTTTTAAGCGCTTCATTTTTTTTCAGACCACACTTGTTAACAGCCCATGAAATTAATTTTTAAAAACTGTCCTCAGCCATCTGCCCTTATTCAAAACTTCTCACTAGCCTGTGGCTTTTATATCTGGAACAGTAGAGCAGTATCCTTGAAAAGGGAAAGAGAAGTGGGTAAGGAGAGAATTAAGAAAGCACACACAAAAACACTCTATGCGGAATCAACTTTTTTTCTTTAGGATTATGCAAAATACTTGCAAATGTATCTAAACATGGCCGTGATACTTGTTCTGTAAGCATTCTTGAACGGAGTTTAGTCTCAGAAGAACCAGAAAGACCTCTTTTTGAACCAGCTGCAGAGCCTATATCTGAGCAAGGGGTCAATGTGAAGCTCAGAGGTCTTATTTTGTCTTGTTTGCATGCATTTCAGCTTCCTGGGTGAGGTCTAGAGGAAAAGTCACTGTCAACCGTTGCCTAGTGTCTTGCAAAAGTAATTGACTTACCTCTGAAACAGTCACTGAAAGAACTTGACTCCTCAAGAACACGTTACCTCTCTCCTCCTTGAGTGAAGAGACCCAAGAAGACTCTCTGCCATTTACCCCTGAGGTTGTACCACAGCTGCTCCTTCAGAAATCCTACATCAACACCAAAAATGTCATGCACCTCTCCTTGGCCACTGAAGGAAACCACTAGGCAATATGAAGACCTTTCTGGGCCTTAAGTATTTTCATCTGCAGAATTGGGAGTTTGAACTAGATTATTTCCAAGGTCCTTTTTAGTTCCTAATTCCTACAATTCTAAGATCCTGCTTTTGACTGGTTTCTCTATAATTGTTTTGTGATGTCTCATATTTGGGTTTAGAAAATTCTGAACACATGGGTTTAGAAAACAAGTGTTTTCAGGTGTGGGTGGCTCTCAGGGAAACTAGATTTAGGTTTCATAGCTTTCAGTCTGGCCACCAGTTCCAAATACTGCAGATGTGTTTCTTACATCTTTAGCAATGCCAAAGACACACGTTTTCATTTCCTAAAGACCTTTTTTTAATTTATTTTTCATACACCAGCTTTTGCACCTCACCCCCACGGAATTCACACGTTTTTAAAAAGAAGGTGTGCGGCTTGAGTCAAGTCCTTCCCTAATTTATGGAAGTTTATTAAGTTATAGGGGTTTTTTAGTTTAAAACATTTGTCAGACCACCTGTCAGGATTTTTAAGGAGCGGTGCATCTTTGCAAATAAATTGATGTTAAATTAATTTAGGCAGTGTTTATATAGGCCCACAATTTAGGGGGCGATGATGATAACAACAATAAGCTATTTAAAGTGTTGTCTGTCCAATTCTATGCTAACTGCTTTATATGCATTGACTGATTTAATATTCACAAAACTTCCCCCAAATAGGACTTCCCTCCCATCATAGATCAAAGAATGGAGTCTTAGAGTGTTAAGCAGCTTACCCAGGTAACACAGTTAGGAGAAGGTGAAGTCAAGATTTAAATCCAGGTGGCTCTATTTTTGTGTTTAATTATAAAACAAACATGTTTGGCTGCCTCTTTTTAGGACTCTGTACTCAATTGTGCTTCAAGGTGTGACCTCAGATACGGAGTCTTAAAACCCTCGCCCCATTCTAGCTCCCTGCTGTCTGTGAGCACCCAAGTGGTGACCGCCAATTTGCTGTCCTCTCGTCACGCAGCATCTCGGTGGAGCTGGGAGTATATTCAAATGGAGGGTGCGGCTCAGTACCCCCGGGGAGCGGCCCTGTGAGTGGGTCTCGGCATTAAAGCTGTGAACCTATTAAACTTAGTAAGATGCCAGTGTTCTCATGAGGCATCAGGGAGGTTGGAAAAGACACGGTCGTGCTTGACCTAAAAACAAACTGAAAAAATAGAATGAAAGCCCAAGGTCTGTGGTGATCTAAAGGAGAGAGACACCTGGAAAGGCTTGGT